GTTTTGAGCATGTTCTTCATCAAGTCTAGTTTATGCATACCAAATTTCAGCTCAAAATTCGATCGGGAAGGCATTCAAATAATTTTTTGAAGTTGACTGCGTCAAAATATACATATAAAAACACAATCAACTTCAAAAATGATTGGAATGCCTTCCCGATCGAAGTTTGAGCTGAAATTTGGTATGGATAAACTAGACTTAATGAAGAATATGCTCAAACAATTTCATCAAAAAATTAGATCGGGAAGTGCCCGAAATGCCCTCGTCCGGACGGCGGTTCCCGTCAGGCCGGCTGGACATGAAGTTTTCTCTCTCTCTCTCTCTCTCTCTCTCTATATATATATATATATAGACACACACACACACACAGAAAAGATCAGGTCCCTCCGGAGGGACGGGAGGGACCGTCCGAACTTTACTGTTTGGGGCGGTTCCCGGTGGAATTTTTTGATGAAAGTTTTTGAGCATGTTCAAGAATTTATAATGTGAGTGATAAATATTGATGAAGGGTGTGTCACATTGGGTTAATTGTGAGTGTTCTCACATTCTCACGTTAAACATCATTCTCATTGGAACCGTACCCTATATATACACATACATACATACATACATACATACATACATACATACATACATACATACATACATACATACATACATACATACATACATACATACATACATACATACATACATACATACATACATACATACATACATACATACATACATACATACATACATACATACATACATACATACATACATACATACATACATACATACATACATACATACATACATACATACACAATTGTTATATGTTAAATGTCCCACACCGGAAAGATTTGGATGAACAAAGTGCTATATTAACACATGAGCTACTCCTCCTATCAGGTTGATCTTTTAGGATGGAACCCCGAATCTTAATATGGTATCAGAGCCAAATCGATCCATGGTGTGGGTTGAATGTGTGTTTTCTCGCACTTAAAATAGATCGTAATATAGTGGTGTAAGTACGAGTATCGTCTCCACAGGGACGGACAAAAGGGAATCAAGAATTAATTAAATTCAGCGATTAAAAAGAAAATAAAATAAAAGCGTCGTGCGAGATTGGTTGGTTTGGAAAATAAAACTAATGCGAACAATTAAACTAGGGGGTTCTTTCTAATTAATGACGAAGGGAACAGGAATCGATTCCAGGGTAACCAGATTCCTGGCAGATCAGGCCTAATTACATGAAATTAATTTAATTGAGCCTAGCTAATCATTACTAAGTTCTTACCGCTCTCGCGGCGTAGAGTACAATAATTTAGGAGACCAGGCTGATCTCTCATGCGACATGATCCTAAATTATTGCCAAGACGAGCGAGCTTACGGCCCCTTAATCGCTACTAATCTCTTAGCGAACGATTAAGTGTGTGTGAATGTGTCCTAGAACAAATTAGATCTCTCTTAATTTATTCTACATGCAATTGTAATTCTAGTCGCGATTCTAGGTTACAAAAGATATCAATTAAATTATTCAAACACAAATTAAACGGCATTCATGCAATTAAACTGAAAAGAATCTAGCCATACATCATGATTAACCCCTTCATCAATCCCAAATCCCTAATTAAAACTACTCACAATTCATAATTGAAGAATCAATAGAATTGGAATAAAAAGAATTAATTGTCATTAATTAAAAAGGTGGAACTTACAAAGAATCCCAAAAGATTGATGAACAAGGCTGAAAAGCCCTCTAAAATTCGTGTTAGGCACTCTCTCTAAGCTTCCCCCTTGAATACGGGGGTTTACAGGCTGTTTAAATAGAAAAATCAGGTGAAATTTGAGCCGAATTGGGATTTTCGGAGCCAGACACGATGCCAGGCACGATCGTGCCTTCGATCGTGCCTCCGGAGCAAAAACGCGCATTTTGGGCAGGCACGATCGTGCCTCCCTCCAAGCACGATCGTGCCTCCCTCCAGGCACGATCGTGCCTGGCTGGCAGTAACTCCGCGGTGCTTTTCTCTTCAGGCACGATCGTGTCTGACTTTGAGGGCACGATCGTGCCTACTTAACTTCCGAATTTGACAAAACTTCCTTCATGAAAGTTGTATATAATGAAGTCCTCTATCCACCCCTATTTGCTGAATGTGATTTGAATAATCCAATCAAGAGATATGATCAAAACGGTGGAAGGTGTCTTTCTGAAATCGCAGCAGAGATCATCTGACTTCATCGTCTGTTTTCACCTTCTTCCTCTCAGATTCTCGCAAAGGTGTCTTCATATGGTTTGTATCCCTTGAAGTTGGATTTCCTATGGAACTTGAATCGTGTACATTGGATGTTTCTACAAAGAGATATGCTTGAACGATTGACAGAAGGTCATCCTGATCGTCGTTTTCAAGCTTCATTCATCTTCTTTTGACCCCGTAGCCAATCCTAGAGCTCTTTTTTCCTTCAAATCTTCATCGTGAATCTTCCGGTGACCTCCAAAGCTATCCAATCAATCTCAAATGCTTCTCAAATCATCCTGATTGTTCCTCAAGTGCCGGTGCCGGGCTCAAATTCCCTGATTTTGACTACAAACAACACAAAACTCGAACCAACGCCTGGTAAACATAACTTGAGCTAAAATTGAGACTTGTAACACCTTAAAACTAGCAAAATCATCAAAAGCCGATCTCAACACGCATCAAATACGTGTCAAAATACGGACTTATCATGGGTCCCCTTATGAATCGTGATGACACGATTATAAAAAAAATAACGATTACGGCCGGATGAAGAAAATGGACCTATGAAAAAAAAATTAATGGAGACACGATCCAGACGAAGTGTCTGGTCGTGAGGAGGGGTGTTAAATGTCCCACACCGGAAAGATTTGGATGAACAAAGTGCTATATTAACACATGGGCTACTCCTCCTATCAGGTTGACCTTTAGGATGGAACCCCGAGTCTTAATATTATAACCTTAAAAATCATAATTTTGTGGCATATACTACTCATATATCTCATGCATAACAAGTTGACAAAATTTCCAATAAAGGAACTAAATTATGCCCTCGCTAAAGAAGTAGATATGACCAAATATTAGACATCTTCTGTGATGATCAGGCTAAGTTATCAATCAAAATAATTTAATTTTGTGCATTTCCTCATGTAGACTTATATGACAGTGGTGAGTCAACTGATTTATTTACACTTTGCTAACATAATTGTCTTGGATAAATTTCAGAAATCTATGCGAACAAGAACGTTGTTGCTATGGAAAGGTGGCAAATATTATGGATGAAATTTACAAGTATATTGTACTTATTGATGCCTACTTTTAGCCTTGAGAACAATAGGTTTTTTCAATGATAGAGTGCTTTAATACCTTTTGTTTGGCTCCTTTGGTTTGCCAGTTCGAAAACCTACTCATCTCATCTCATTACAGTCACTATTTCTTTACTTTTTTTAATGTTGCCTAACTGTACATGATGTTTTAGTAAACAAACTTATTGTTATTGAATCTTTCCTCATATTTTCTGTCACCAGGTTTCGTTTCCCTCACTTTGTTCTTTTTTTTTTGCAATTTCAGTGCTACAAGTGTTCACCTATACTCACTGATAATTTTAAAAACAATTTTACCCTTAAATTGTGATAAGTGAAAAGGTTAGCGTGTCTTTCGAATTTTAAGGAGAATATAGGTTTAACTGCATGGGTTTTTGTTCTCTGTGATCATAAGGGAGACTTTAATTCTGCTGGTTTTCTATCCATCCCTAGGCCAGACAGACATCTTTCGAGCACTTCCACTGGCGCGGTCTCTTGGTGTTCAAATACGGGCTTTCACAAGATATCGATTGACATTGCTTCTCAAGATCTATACAATGACTCTACAAGACTACAAGGAATGCTCTTACATGGAAAACACAGAAGTTTATCAGAAATGTTACATATTTTGCTTTCATCTTCCCGAAAGTTAACCGAGCTTCTTCTATGTTATCTCAGCTCCAACAAGATCGTTGCCAAGTTTTCAAAGGCACCAGGGAACTCCCAAAGGATCCTCAATGTTATGTTGTATATGACCAATGAGCATTTTTTCTCGGTAAAGGACATGTCAACTTTCTGCATGGAAGAGCCATTTTTTTTTTTTCTAGATTCAATAAATGTACTTTTTGCATTACTGATTCGGGGGAAAATTTTATGCCCCCCTATTACATGTTCTCTTTTTCTTTAATTAATAAAGTAATGGTTTCTTAAAATAATAATAATAACCCATTCATGACAAGTGGAAATTAAAAAAAAAAACTCTTCTTCAATATTGATTAAGTTTCCCTGAAAATTAATAGTTTGACACATAAATTTTACATATTCAATAAAGAACAATTAAAAAAATTCAGTTTTTTTTAAGAAACTCAGCTTCAATATGTATTATTGTCAAAATAAGTAAATAGATTGTTTTGTCAAAACAAGTAAATAGATTGTTTTGTCAAACCAAGTAAGTAGATTGTTTTAATTATAAAACTTTACCCGTGAAAGTGTAAGTAATGTGCAAGTTGAGTTAATGTACATATAATATTTTAATTCCGGTCCAACCAGTTCAGAGTAGAATAGTTCGGGTTTTGACTCAGATTGGAACTTGAATCTATAAAAAGAGTTGGGGACCGGTCTGCTTTGGTTTTATTTTCTGATCTAGACAAAGAAATTGACGAAGAAAGAAAATTAAACAATTACAAAAAACACTGTCTACAAGGTCTTCAACAATTTGTTATTTTGTAATTATTAAACTTTTAATATTTGTTAGTACATAATATTTATTTATAATTTCTCTATTCGTGTGATTTAATTTGTAAATGTTTTCTAAGGATGTTTTCTTTTGGACTGAAATTTGCTGGTTTGGTCTGATCTAGTCTGATCTGATCTGGTAAACGTCTGATTATTGTGTATTGTATAACTACAGAAATCTGGTCTGATCTGGTCTAGTCTGCTCTGGTCTGAGATTGAAAATAGCTGAAAAGAAAACTTCCTAATTAACTACTAATGCTTATTACATCGTGAAATGTAGTAAAATATACAAAGTGCGTAACTGCGTACTGTCCAAATTCCTAAATTTTACCCCTTCTCCAAGCCCCCAGAACAATCGTGACCCCTTCTCCAAGTCTGGACTGAGCATATGACATGTGTCGAGTTGCGTCAATCTTCAAGTAAAGATCTCCGCAGCGTCAGAGAAGGTTTCACCACCGCCTTCACTCAAACCGATTTTTCTCTGATCTCTCCCTATTTACTTTGCATTCCTGTATTTTAAATTTGATTTTAGATTTGAATATTTGATTGTGCATTTCCTTTCATTCCTCCTTGGTTTGCAGGCTTTGTGTTGTTACTCGGTGACTCGTCCTTTCCGACTTTGCTCAGGCAAGTTGCAGTTCATCCCGGTCTTATTCTCTCCTGTGAATTGATATGAACCGTTATTGAATTTAATACTGTATGTTATTCCTCAGTCCTCACTTTCACTTTCATCGTGTGTCTGTGATGGATTTCTTTTCCTAATTTCTACCAAACCCTAAACAGTTGGATCTTTAAGAATGACACGGCTGTAATTGACCTAATTACAAAATTTCAAACTTGAGGACTTGGCCTAATTATAAAAAAACAGGTCTTAATTGTTAACTCTGTTCACAATTTAATCGAGGTATATATTTTAAATAGTATCCTGTAATGTTTGTTTTCAATAATTTAAATAATTTAAACTTGAGGACTTGGCCTATGTTAAATAATTTGTATATACTCTACATACTGAAACTATAATACTCCGTACATGTTATGTTTAAGAGTTGTTCATGTCATTGTACTAATGGCGGTCCTATTCAGATAAAGTATGCTTCGCTTGAGCCATTTTTCCCGTTTTATATGTCAAATTTTCATGTATGACATGCAAATTGATTTGAAAGAACAGTATTCACGGATCAGGAGTTAGGAGGGCATAATCATGTCAAAAGGAAAAGAACAAACAAACACCTGCATAGTAAACCTGCAATTATCTACTAAAATAATATTCCATGGCTCACATGTATTCTTATTGTGTATATGTATACAGAGTAATGGCTACTGAAGGAGTTAAACCCGAGACACATACCCAGTTGACACCGGTAAATGCTGTGAAATCTTCATGCCGGAAGAAGAAGTCTGAAACTGCTAGTTTCATAGAGGACGTGAGAGATCATATTGACGAGTTTATACATGCTTCAATGGATGAGCATAAAACATGCTTCAAGAAGACTATTGAGAAGGTTTGCTTTGAAATTCAAAATTATAATTTATGTGAGATGCAGTTATGGACTTGTGCTTATTATACGAGTCACTGAGTATAAATCCATCATGCCATGGTTATTAATTCTGGCTAGCAAATCCTCAGATGTTTGGAATGTCGAAAGTTGTTGCTGAAAGAAATGCTGAAGCGAAGGAGGTCGAAAGTGTACTTCCACTCCAGACAACCATATCTAAGTAGTATTTCCAGAACTTGCGTATGAGAAGGAAGTCTTCAATTAATTCACCCGATCCCCACCAAAATCCTTTCTGGATGTGTTTTAGAGTTTCGGTCATAGGTGTTTTTAGTTTGTTAATTTCTGTTCTTTGTTATCATGTAGGCAGTGTCCATGTTTGATGAAAGAAATGTTGCTTCTTAGCTTTGGGTTGTTGCATGGTTTTTTTCTAACAATACGATCAGAGTAACTTTTTCTTATAGAAAGCTGTGATGGTATATATAACACGATAGTTTTGTCCATCAGAACTTCCGGTTATTTTAAAAAGTTCACAAAACTTAATATGTGGAAATGTGGAATTATTAGTTTAGTTCATATTCAATGGATGCAAGACAATACATTATCCTGGAACTGACCCGGTCATGAGTCATGATTTATGGTTCCATCCCAGAAGCAAAATAGGCAAGTGTGACTAGGACAGTTAACGAATCTGAGCCCGAACACCTAGAGTTTGAGTTCGGCTCGATTTGGTAATAGTGGTGTTCGGGTTTGAGCTCGAAGCTCGACGAGCTTTACATATGAAGCTCGTGGTCGATTCAATAGGTGTTTGATGTTCAAACAGAGTGCTCGATAAGTTTGATAGTTGTGTTTGAATTTGAAATTTAAGTGATGCTTGTTAATAAGCTCGTGCTCAAATGATTTGACAATTATTCGGTTCATTAATACTCATATTTATATTCATTAAGTCATACTTCGTACTAGTTACATATAAATTTTGATACATGTATGAATTATATTTATGATTCCATATTTCCATGTTCGACTTTGGCTTGATTAATTGTTCCAACTTAAAGTTGAGTTTGAGTTCGAGTTATGATGTGAGTTTTCTCGCACTAATAAAAATGTAGTAGTAAAGGGTTTTAGTATGAGTATCATTTAAATTCAGCGATTAAAACAAAAAAATTAAAATGCAATTGTGCGAGATTTGAATCTTTTGAAAATTAACTAATGCGAAAAAACAGGTAAACTAATAGGTTCTTTCTAATTAATGTCGAAAAGGAGCACGGATTGATTCCGGGGTAATCAGATTTTGGGGCTGATCAGACTTAATCGCATGCAAATTATTTAATTGAGCAACATTGATCAATATTAAGTTCTTAACGTTATCAGTTATCACGGAGTAGACTATAATAATTTAGGGAACCAGACTGATCTCTCATGTGACATGGTTCTAAATTATTGTCAAAATGAGCGAGCGTACATCTCCCTAACCATTACTAATCTCTTAGCGTAGGATTAAGTGTGTGTGAAAGTGTTCTAGAATAAATTAGATCTCTCTTAATTTATTATATATGCAATTATAATCCTAGCAGTTGTTCTAGGTTACAAAAGATATCAGATAAATTATTCAAACACAAATTAAACAAAGAACATGCAATTAATCCCTCAAGAATTTACCCCTAGATCATGATTAACCCTTTTCATTAATCCCAAACCCCTAATTAAAATTACTCACAATTCATAATTGTACAATCAACAGAAATGAGATTAAAAGATTCAATTGTCATTAACTAAAAAGATGTAACTTATAAATAATCTCAGGTTCTTGAATAACAAAGTGAAAAAGAACTAAAAATTCATCCCTAGGTCTCTCTCTAAGCTCTGTAACCCAAAAACAGGGATTTACAAGCTACTTTTTTAGAAAACAGTCGAATCCGGACAGAAACGGGATTGCAAGGGGCACGCACGGCACCCACACACGGCGTGCGTGGTGTCCGTGCATCAGGAGCATTGCGCGCGTCAAGTTTCCGCGCACATCGTGCGTCTCTGCCACGCACGGCGTGCACGGCTGCCAGTAAGGCCTGTCAGTTTTGTCCCTTCCGCGCACAACGTGCGTCCTACTACGCACGTCGTGCGTAACTTTGAACTTCATCTTGGACAGTCTGCCACGCACGCACAACATGCGTCCTGGGCACGCACAGCGTGCGCGTGGCCTATTTTCCTTCGATTCCTTCCGTTTCTTGCTCTTTAAGCCTTCTTTCGATCCTGTAGCCAATCCTTGCACTCTTTGACTTCAAAACTTCGTCTTCAACATCTCGATGGCCTCCAATGCTCTAAATCATCTCTCAAATGCGTCCCAACTCTCTTAAAAACTTCTCAAACGCCGGTGTCAGACTAAAATCCCTTATTTTGACTCTAAAAATACTCAACACGAACCAAAGCCCGATAACATATGAGTTGAGCTAATTATGAACCTTGTGACACATTTAAGGTAGGAAAACCATCAAAAGTCGATCTCAACACGCATTAAATGCGTATTTAAATACGAACTTATCATGTTGGAATTTTTTTATGCTCGGTTTGTTAAACTCGATTCGTTAAGTTCAGAATCAAGCAGGAACTCGAATAGTTCGATAATAGCTAAATTCATTAGGAAGCTTTAGTATGACCTGAGATATTAGGGAAGTGACCGTAAATTACACCGTACAACCGGCTGTACGGTGAGCACCGTACAGCCGGGTATTTTTGAAATTAAATTCAACTTGCAGGGTTAAGATCGAAGACCTTCGTATCCTCTGTACGCAGGCTTGAGTCCTCGTGTCGCTCGTCCCAGGCTTCGCCGGCCATCGCTGCTACCTGCTAGATCCCCGGCGGCCACCTCTCCCTGCTAGACCTTCGGAGTTTTGGGATTGAGTCAATCGATGACTATGGCTTTGGGGTTAAAACAGATAAGGAGATAGGGATTTGGGGTTCCTAATTTAGTTGCCTCCTTTGCAATAGAAATTGCAGATAGACATCAGATGAAGAAATTGCTAGGACGATTGTTAGTCATGGTTTACTTTGTTTAAGTACGATAAATAACAAGCTCCAGGCCAGTGTTTGTTTCGACATCCGAGTTCATATTTCTTGTTGACTAATCTGAAATGAGTTTATATTAAACACAAATGAGTATAAGCTTAAAAAGAATGAACATACACAAATGAATATCGAGCATATTAAAAATGAGTTTCACGTAAAACTCCAATGAGTATACAACCGAAAATGAATGAGCATACACAAATGATCTTTTGAATTTTTTATACTCATTTTTTGAATTATGTATGCTCATTTGGTACCTCTTTATACTCATTTCAAACGTACCATACTAATGTTAAACTCAAATGAGTATAAGGCCAAAATGAATGAGCATACACAAATGGACTTTTAATTTTTTTGATACTCATCTTGTAAGTTACATATGCTCATTTGGTGTTATTTTATGCTCATTTAAAAAGAACAGACTCGATGCTCATCACAATCGCATAATGAAAATCATTGGTCATACTTTTCAAGTTGATGCTCAATAAAAATGTCTTGATGTTCAATTAAAAGTACTTATGATTTTCATATCAATTCTCATTTTATAAGTTATGTATGCTCAACGGGTATTCATGTTATGCTCATTTGTAATATGACATACCAATGTATATTTCCAAAGTATCATATTGCATTAAATTCACATACTGGAGTTCATAAGAGTTGATTATAGATATAATTTAATAAGTTTTTATAAAGAAAAAAATAAGGAAAAGAAAGTAAATTCGAAGAGATGAAGCAGAGATCATGATGCTCAATGTTATGCTTCTAATGCTCAACAAAATATGTCACTTGCTCACTATGTGTGGTTTAATACTCATTTAATACGAGATGTGAATTTCAAATAAATTACAAAAATGCCACCGGCTGTACGGTGAGCACCGTACAACCGGTGGTACCATATACGCTTCCGGGAAGTGACACACAAATTGAGTGCAAGCCCATTAACACTTCGATTTTATCGGACCGGTGTGAGAAAAGTTATACGCAACTTTGCTTTTGAGTTTTAGGGAGTGTATGTCAAAGTTTTAAAAAATGCTTTTCAGTTTTATTGCTTAGAAAACTAGAATTAGTGTTTGTAAGTGACATTTTCTATTAAAATTAAGTACTTTGAAATTAAAATCTAAAAGGAAGTGTTCTAACTAATTTTTACCATGCAATAGATTAAGAAAAAAACTAGTTCTAACTAGTTTTTAAATATAACTAGTTTAATTATCAACGTTTCTGCATCCTTGGCTATTCCATCAACAAAATCTGAAACATCCATGTACCTGACTTCCATCTCTATCCCTTTTACCCCCATCCTTGTGGGCTTGTGGCGTTGTCTAGACTCTAGGAGGACTGTTGTGGTGGTGATTCCTTCTGCCGCGGTGGTGACAATCAAGGGAGCGCGAATTAGAAGTAGAAGAATGACGGAAACGATGGTGGTCAATGACGGCAAAGAAGGGATGGAACTGTAGAACCTTCATTGTTTATGGCCGTTGCTCTGTACATTTACTTTGCATCTATTTTTTTTTAAAATAAGCAAAACGGTACCGTATTTGGACCTGCATACCATGCGCATGGTATGCCGGTCATACAGTATAATTTGCGTATTTTGCAAGAATGATTTAGAACCACACAAACTTTACAAAATTCATCTTTTCTTATAAAAATATAAGAAAATAATGATTGATAGTATTTTTCAAGCATGATAGTCAGGATGTTTTCTTTTGGACTGAAATTTGTTGGTAAACGTATGGTCTCTGTGTATTTTATAACTACGGAATTCTTGTCTGGTCTGATCTATTCTGGTTTGGGACTGAAAACAGTCCAAAAGAAAACATCCTAATTAACTACCACTATTAGTATATAAAAATATATGGTTCATATTTTGGAACTCACATTATTTTTACAATATTCTAATATTATCTTTTATTCGGTAAATAAATCTTATCAATTTACTTTACTGCTCTATTAGGATGTTTTTACTTGGACTGTAATTTGCTGGTCTGGTCTGGTCTGATCTGGTCTGAACTGGTCTCGTTTGGTTTGGTCTAGTAATGTCTGGTTACTTTATATTTTTATAACTATCCAAGTCTGGTCTGATCTGATCTGAACTGGTCTGATCTGGTTTGAGACGAATTACAGTCCAAGTAAAAACATCCGTATAACAATGAACATAGTAGTCAACATACAATACAATGTCATTAAATACTCCAAAAACAAAACGGTTGGCGTACGCAAATTATACCGTGGGATCGACACACCATGCGCATGGTGTGCTGATCCCATTAATGCCTTTTTTCCTCAAGGTTCGCACGCAGCTTTCTCTAGATTTTTTATCATTCTGCACCATGCCCATGCTTCCACTATCTCTTCCTTCCCTGCTTCCACTTTCTTTTCTCTTGCCCGCTTTCTCATCTAATTCTCTTTCTTTTTCTTTTTACTTCTTTTCTTTTTCAATTTTGTTCATCTCCTTTATTAAAATATATATTAAAAATATGATTACAATTACTTTTTTATATAATATATTTGTGAAAAAAATCTTTATCTCTTTTGTAGGTTTTTAGTGTTTTTTAAGACATGGAGTTTGTTAATTTCTATTTACATATGATAAAACAGGTGATTAAATTTTCATGTATGTGATTTACATGATTCCTGAAGTTATATTTGAGTTACATCTTCTCATGCGTGAGTTGCATATTTTTATGCCTGAGTCACATTATTTTATAAGCGAGTTACATCTTCTGAAGCGCAAGTTACATATGCCATCAACGCGTGTTACATTTGCAATAACACGAGTTACATAAAAAAAATAACCTCTTGCTATTGAAACAAAAAAATGATTTTCTTATCCTCGTGATGGTCATGATATTAAAAACAAAACATAATCACCATTTACGTAAAGTAATTGTGTAGTTAGACTTTTTTTCTTCATTGTTTGCATTGGAATCAATGTTTTATTTCTTATAGTATGTATTTGATAAGTTACATTTCGAATGAACTTGAGTTACATTGATCAATAACATGAGTTACATATCTTTACACGCGAGTTAAATCATTTATACTACTGGGACAAAAAACCAGTTACTGTACACGCGTGTAATGTTCACGTATTACTGTTCACGCAAATTTGTTTAAAAAAATTGTGCAAACTACGTCGTTTTGGGTGTGAGAGCACGGTGCTCACAGGGTGATAACACCATATACGAAGTCGTTGGCGTATGGCTGTATGCTATTTGAATTAGGAAGTCAAGGAAAAAACTTTTATTTTATTAAAGTGCATGCTATTTAAGGGATCACGAAAGTATGTTCCAAGTTTGATGAGTTTGTATTAATATTGGTCTCGTATATTCAAATATGATGAAATTAATCCAAAACATTTCGAGGGCGACGCATTTTCCATGTTTCCTCAACAAGAGTACATGACACTATGACAGTATTTTCAAATATATTCGAGCATATTATTATTTTTTGGGATATTTTGACTTTACACCCCACTTTTGGGTGATTATTGATCAACTTTACACCTCATTTTCAAAACTTTTAGACTTTGCACCCTATTTTTCCTAAAATGTTTTTGCCTTTGCACTGGCCAAATTACCAGATTGGTAAAAAAAGCAGGGTGTTTTGCCAAATTGGTAAAAAAAACATCCTCAGACAAATTGGTAAAAAGAGAAGCCTCAATGACAGATTGGTCATTTTTTTGCGAGTGAGACATTTTTCGCCCTCGACTTCAAAATTCCCGATATTCCAAATTCTGAGTATTATGAAATTAACATATTCAGTCCTTTAACTTTGATTTTGTAATGAAAAGTACATAACTAAAAAATCTACTACATCTAAAAGATCTACTAAAAAATTCTACACCATAAACAAATTCTATTTTATATGGAATATTTTTGCTATTTTATATACCATAGATTTTTTTTTAAACTTATAGAATAGTCATATTTAAAATATTAATACTAAAAATAAATAAATTTATACGTTTGTGCTTGACTAACCAATTTCATACGTGTGTGCTTGCGTTAATGTACATATGTTAAAAATCATAGTGGTAGTACTTATTTAAAATAAACGTAAATATAATTTATATAACATTTTCAAGACATTAAAAATTAAAAAAAGTAAAGTTAAGTTATATACTTTTACATTCATATTCTTAATGGTCATTTTATGTCTTAACAGTTAATCGCAAACAGTTAAGTTATAGCATATTGTTTTAAACAGATAATAAAAGTGGTTAGTTAAAAATGTAATAGAATGCGTGTAACACCGTCCCCAAAAAGTATTTACTTTTAAGTGAATAATGTATTGAACTTATGGAATGGTTAACGAGTATTCGAAGTTGTGAATTTTTATTAATGTTTTTGCGTGACTAGTAAATTCGCACGTGGGGCCCGCACCGGGAGCGGGGGCCGCCCGATATTCCCGAGACCGTATATTTTATTCATCTTGGTCAATGTAATATTTATATAGTGGTGGATAATTTATTTGGTCCAAAGAAATGATATAGAGTTGACCGGTTGATCAAAAAGGCCAAAATACCGGTACTGGTAATTTAACAGATAAAAGCCAGAAATGAATTTCGGGAACTTATAAATTAATTTTGGGAGATGTATATTCATTATAAGGGTCATAATGATTGGGAACACATAATATATTTTATTTGATCCGATAAAATAGAATATATCTAAAACAGTCCGAAAAATACAACTTTTGGGACCGATTGTACACTTCTGGACAAAAAGGGTTGACCTCCCACATGTGTGGGGGCCAACCCACGAATTTGGTCACCCAAATGTGATGGTTGAGATGATGTGGGAACATGGGAGAGGTGTGTGATGTGAAGGGAAAGGAATCAAACAAAAGAAATGGGGTGGACCTCTCCCCACACCCCCATTCTATTGAGACAAAAGAAAATAATCACTCCCTCCTCCCTCATCCCTGCGGCCAGAACCCAAGCAAGAAGCAAAGAAGAAATTTCCATCCTTATTCTCCATTGTTGAAGAAAGCTCCAACAAGAGGGAAGCTCTAGGGATAAATTTAAGCTCCAAAGGGTACAAAACTTGAGGAAAAACTAGGTAATGACTTCATTTACCTTTTCTCCTATTTTTCTTGAATATATTATTATTTGAGAAATTATGAGGAACCCTAGGATTGTTCTACATGTTGATGAATGTGGAACAAGGGGTTGGAAGGTGGTTCTATGTCCAAAAGTGGATTTAGAAGCCAAACCGACAAGTTCACCGGAAAATAACCTTTTAGGGGTTATGTGTATTGATTAAGGTTTTATGATGTTAAAACCTTGTTAGGAACTTGATTTAGAGTATCTTTGAGCTTCGTCGGAGTTTCGCCGGAGTTGGTCAAAGTTGGCCGGAGTTGGTCAAAGTTCGCCAAAGTTCAATCGGGAAACGTAGATCGCGCCTAAGCTCACTTAAGGTGAGGATGGCCGACTATATCGCTTATAATCTTTGGGTTAATTTCATGAGATTTCCTAAATGAATATACAATGTGATTTGCATGGATTATTAATGGTTAATAATGCCTAAATGAAATTACTATTGATTATAAGTATAGGTTGCATAATATACAAATTTATTGAATAAATTGTGTATGGCTAAATGTTATGAATATGATGGCATGATAGTAGTATCAACCATAAATCCCATTTGTGATAAGTATACTTTTATTTCATGAGAAGAAGCCATGAAGGAATAAAAGTGATATTTTGATATTGAGGCCAAATTACATATTGAATGAAGAATTACATTGAAATGAGTAAATAACTAGTATTGAAATATTAGTTGGAATTGTAGTTGAATAATGGATGAATGGATCCTAAGAAATTGAAATGTAAAGAATCGGTGATTATTGAGCTGGGCTCTAGACCGATGTAGATAACGGTGATTATTGAGCTGGGCTCTAGACCGTAGTAGTTATCGGTGATTATTGAGCTGGGCTCTAGACCGATGTAGATAACGGTGATTATTGAGCTGGGCTCTAGACCGTAGTAGTTATCGGTGATTATTGAGCTGGGCTCTAGACCGATGTAGATGACGGTGATTATTGAGCTGGGCTCTAGACCGTAGTAGGTAACGGTGATTATTGAGCTGGGCTCTAGACCGTGGTAAGTAATGATGAATTGACACTAAACGAATAAAGTTAACCATGATACAATAACACCCTAGATTGAGGGTCTTGGAAATTGAAACTTTGATTATACTTAGTATAGTTGTCATTGTACTTGTCAAATGCTTCCAAGTACTGACCTCCCCTTCACGGGGGAGGCCACCTCACAGTTTCAGGTAGAACTTGAAGGTTGCTACCAGTGCCGTTGCTCCGGGAGAATTTAGGAGAAGAAGACGTGGTTCGTGCTTCCTCCGTTCCTGTTTTAAAATCTTTTAAATTAATGCTCATGGATGTTATCTTTTGAATAATTATTTGATGGCTTGTATGCCCATGTTTCGCCAAGTGTGGCTTGAACACTTGTTATATTACTTCTGCTGTTTTAAATGAATATTTTACATTATGGTTGTTTACGGATGAACTATGTGTGAATGGTATACAAGACGCCTTGTACAATATGGATGAGTTGAGTTGCGGTTGACTATTCGTATTGTACGGCGGGTTGTTGACGTGTCCGGTAGGTCCGGGGCGTGACAATGCGCTACTATTAATTTGTTGATTCAACAGACTTTTAGCTAGCAGACAACTGGTATTATGAAATATCGGGAATTCTAAAGTCGAGGACTACAATAGTATTTATTTTAAATGTGACTGTTCTATAATTTTTTAAAATTGGCTAGTCGAGCACACACGCATAAATTTATTTATTTATTGTATTAATATTTTAAATATGACTATTTTATATATATTTTTAAATTTCTACGGCATATAAAATAGCAAAAATATTCCATATAAAATAGAATTTTCATATGGAGTAGAATTTTTTAGTACATTTTAAAATGCAATAGATGTTTTAGTTTTGTACTTTTCATGACAAAATCAAAGTTGAAGGGCTAACAATGTCAATTTCACAATACTTAGATTATGAAGGGCTAACAAGGACAAAAATGTCTCAATCTAAAAAAATTGACCAATCTGTCACTTGGTTTTTTTTTACCAATTTGTCTCAGGAGGTTTTTTTTACCAATTTGGCAAAACATCCTGGTTTTTTACCAATCTGGTAATTTGGCCCCTTTGCACTCCATTCAGGAAACTCTCTTCACAAAATGTTGTAAATAGGGTGCAAAATATAAAAGTTTTAAATGGAATGCAAAATCTAATCCATCAACTATTTAAAATCTTTTTTTTTTTATATATTTAAAATCCAAGTATTTATTGATTTCACGTTGAAAAACAGGTCTCAGGGTGAGACGGTATCTGCGGTTATTGTCAAGGTCCATTAATGCTGGTGCTCCCCTCAGCTAACAAAGTGCTCACTCTTTTATTGTCAGGAAAAGAATGTACAAAATCTGCCCATCTCCTGCTCTGGGTTTGTCTTCTTTAGGCTATTGCCTACCCGACTGAGCAATAGCCTTCCACCGAGAAAAGGAGTTCAAATTTCAGAGAAGTGTTAGGTATTTACCGAATACACAAACGAACAGACATTTTCTGCTATGGGTCTTTTTTACGCATTCTCTTCATCATCTCTTCCACGTCTTGGAAGAATATAATCCCGCTTCAGGGTGTCAATATCAAGGAAACAGAGGAATGGAGCATCTTCTTCGCCTGATTCTGCTACTTCTCTGCTCAACCATTTTGATTTTTCATCTCACAAACAACGTTTTAGCTGACGCTGGATCCGACCCTCCACTTTATCCTCCGCTATATTCATCACCAGCAAGATTCTCTCCAGGTTTATTCCATGTCTATGCTTGTGTCTGTTTGTATGCATTTGGACTTTTTCTTTCTGGGTTGGTTACAGATAGAAATTCCTAATAATTGTATTGTATTTCCGAAATTCAAAATTTTAAATTTCAAACTCTTGAACGACCACATGGGTTATATTTAATGCCAAAGGAATTAAGAGAGGTTGTTTTTAATGATACCCTTTTCTTATTGGACATTGAATTTTCGATAAATAAGTAAGAAAACAAATTCACCTTTCTGGAGATGGTTGTGAAACTTCTATATCTTAGACTTTGGAGTTAACTTTCTGGACCTTTTGAGTTTTGAACCTTTTAAAACCTATCTTTTTGGATTCCCCCCTTTTTGTAACCAAAGTAACTGCTTTGACTTCTTGCTTCATGAAACCAGAGGATATTTCAAGTAAAAAACACCATATGGGTCCGAATAGGAAATTGCTCATATCACTGTGCGCTGCTGCTTCTGCACTGTGCACTAGCATATTGCTCATGGGGTGCTTCTGGATTTATCATAGAAAGAAAATTCCAAAATCTCACAAGGATGGCATTCATGGTCCAGGTACTTGTATATTGACCCACATACTGGGATTGACACATGAATGTGCTATCTGATTTTCTTGTTTCAAATGGGTTTTCTATTTTGAAGATAATGGGAATGGTCCTCTATTTTCGGCATACATTGGCAAACACAACTCCTCCAAGTCAAATTCCTGGAAACAACATGATGTTGCTTTGTGGGAATACAGTATCCTTGAATCAGCTACAAACAGTTTTCAAGAGAGTGAGATCTTAGGTGGAGGGGGGTTCGGAGCGGTGTACAAGGGAAAAGTAGAAGATAACCTTTATGTAGCTGTGAAGAGGCTGGTAGTTGGAGGACAAGATTCAATACAAACATTTGAGGTTTCATTAATTATTATTTTTATTGAAATATTATAAATTTTATGACTAAAATAAAAGTATTGAACAAAAGTATGACTTATAATATGCAACAACCAAAGGCTATAGTAGTATGTTCGGAGTAACCGTAGTGAAACTACGAAGTGACTTTTTGAACATTACTATATCTTCGGAGCTACTATAATGACCGTGCAGTCATATTGTGTGTCGAGTTAAATTTTAGCAATATTATGTGAAAGACTCATTTTCGAATGTGTTTGATACACTCTAAATGATTATGGTTGTCTGTCCTTTTTTGTTTTAATTACAGACTGAGATAGAGGTATTGAGTGCAATCCAGCATCCAAATATAATTTCATTGTTGGGATATAGCATTCATGCTGAAACGAGGCTGCTTGTTTATGAATTAATGCCAAATGGATCTCTGGAAAGCCAACTACATGGTATCTACGGTTTGACATCTCAGTCAAATAGTAATAGGGACGACAATATGAAAACTACAACCTTACATCAAATTTTCTTGATTTGCCTTTGAATTAGGACCTTCTCAGGGATCAGCATTAACATGGAATCGTAGAATGAAAATTGCCCTTGATACCGCAAGGTTCGAGTTTGCTAAACAGTAGATGTTACCATATTCATAGTTCATATGAAAGCTTAATTTTGGAATTTTGGAAACTGTTTTTATTTTTATATTTTAACAGAGGATTAGAATATTTACATGAACACTGCAAACCAAAAGTCATCCATAGAGATCTGAAATCCTCTAATATTCTTCTAGATGCCAACTTCAATGCCAAGGTATCATGTGTCTTCAATCATCCTGCATTGAAAACTATTTCAAATATTATTTATTTTATTTTAGTTTCTTGAAATCATGTTTCTCAGCTTTCAGATTTTGGTCTTGCTGTAAGACATAAAGCTCATAACAAAAGCAATATTAAGCTTTCGGGAACCGTTGGATATGTAGCTCCAGAGTACCTATTAGATGGTATGACATCTAAACTTTTTTCTTATTTTAACTGAAGCTAAGGTATATATTTTGTTTTTCTCTTTATAACGGTTTATAAGTATTGCTCATATTTACTCTCGTAGTGATATTTGTTTATATTGTGTTTCAGAGTAGAACATTACAGATAGTATTGCTAAACAGTTTAGGTAGTGTTATTACTCATATATATTGCTTGAGATCTCTGTTTTAATTTCTTTTTACAATGAGAGTGCACTACATGTTATAATACTACTTCATTGGTGTTGTCATTAGTCCTATATATTATCTGATTATGGAGACAAAATTATTATTTCAAAGATAATTCAAACGAACTACTTTTTCCGCGCTCCCCAAAACTATTTTCTAATAGTTTTAGTGCCACTTTCCAAATTTGAATCTGGTGATCTAAATGCCACTTTGATTGAATTTTCCAGGAATACTAACAGATAAAAGTGATGTGTATGGCTTTGGAGTTGTACTTTTGGAGCTTCTACTAGGAAGAAGGCCAGTGGAGAAATTGGCACCAGCTCAGTGCCAGTCTATTGTCACATGGGTAGGAATTGCACTGTGGTCCTATATATATATATTTAAGTTCAATTACTTCCTTTCTTAGGCATCAGTTTGAATGAACTGTCGAGTTTTTAGCTCAATGCTATAGTTTTTATGGAAAACAGGCCATGCCTCAGCTAACGGACAGATCAAAGCTTCCCAACATTGTTGATCCTGTTATTCGAGATTCAATGGACATTAAGCACCTATGTCAGGTTAGTTGGCAACAGAAAATAAAAAGGTTCACCATCTCAACAACTATTTCTGTCCCAAAGTTCTTTAATGGGATTAGAACACTGTAATATCTTCCCTTTTCACCCTGAACGCTATAGCAACCAATCACTATCTTATAACTTTATTGACTTACAAACCATAGATACACCGATTCAAGTTGCCTGCTAGAGTAGATTTTTCTCGCTTTATTCTAATTTCATCAAATATGATGTTAAGACTAAAGTTCTATTCTTAAAGGCTAACCGACTTTTTAGGAAGATTAAACCAAGAGAGACCTTTATATGTGCGTATATATTGTCACATTTTTCCCATGTAGAATAGCTTAACCATATACGTAGTATATTTTCTCCTTTTCACGTTTTCTAATGTTTTGTTTTGTAGGTTGCTGCGGTTGCTGTACTGTGTGTTCAACCGGAGCCAAGTTATCGCCCATTAATAGCAGATGTGCTACATTCTCTTATACCCCTGGTTCCCGTCCATCTTGGTGGGACCCTAAGTGTTTCTCAGCAAGCACCTTAGTTCTGCAGCTGTCATGCCTTCTGGGGACTGATTTTTGATTATTGTCCACGGAACACTTCCTCAGTTATCCCCCCTATGGTATCAGGGCAGATTTGGGGGTTGCCAGTGGAATGGCATACATCTTCATTTCATTTCACTTCAGGCTCAGCTTGTTGTAGGTTGAAGCAATGTCTCTACCATATTCTTGTACATGTATAAAAACATTAAAAGGAATGAAAAAAGCATGCCCCATCCTACCTAAAATATTTTCGTTTTAGACACATGCACTAATAATAAGATCTTCAACTCGTCATGTTATCAAAAGAGAATCGATGCATCATGCATGTAAAAACAGGATGAGCGGTTTGAAGGGAAGGGGAGATCGAGGATTGAATGAATATGAGAGTAAAGGGGGATTACTTTGAACTCCTCAAATGACAAAATACTTTTTGGAAAGAGAGAACTGTCAAATTGGTACCTTAACTTGTCTCCCTTAGCATAAAGAGTACATAAATTTGTATTAGATACCTCAAAGTACATCAACTTGACTTTGTACTATCAGTTGAGTACGTCTGTTACACGGACGTTAAAAAATGGATGACTTGGCCAAAAGTCTCACTAACTCATATGTTCTGTTTCGTTAAGGCAGTCTCCAATTAGGCTAAAGCCAAGAGATTAATTTGGCAGCTCATCATTTTGACGAACGGATAGTGTACTCCAAAGAAAAGCAGATGTTGAAGTTTGTAGGGTGAGGAAAAGAGGGATGCAAGTACCTATGCGAATAAATTTTATTATGGAGAGTGATAAATCACAAGAAAGGTATGTTTTTGGGTTTGTGCGAAAGCTGTTGTATATGGTCTTGTTCGGTGAATTTTGGATTTTCTGTCATGGATGAGTATAATACAACATGATGGAGTGAAATGGGATGGAAGGTAGAAGATTGCCTATAATATCCTTGAATCGATTATCCACTTGTCCCTCTGTCCATACAGACCTCACGAGATACAATTGAAACGACTCCTGCTAGATAGCCGCCTCCTTGTCTCTATTTTAGCCTCATGGACGGAGGGAAGAAGAAAAGCTGCAGAATTGGGCAGTAAGGCACACGCAAAAGACAACAAGCAGCAACTAAATCCTTCTCAGCCCTCTAACCTCTCTATTACTCCGTAGTAAAGTTTATAAGGCTGCTTGTGAAAATAGAAATTCATTCAAAGTTCAAGAAATTATGTAGCAAAAGAAGAGGAGATGGTATAAAGTAAACGGCCCATTTGTGCCATTTAACGTGAGAATCCGAATTGTACTTAATTAGCACAAAAAAAAACAAGTTTAGGTACTTTGTTGCACCAGAATGCCAGATGATGTACTCTTAATGCTAGTAGAGGCAAGTTATGGTACTAATTTGACATTCTTCTCCCTCCATATTTCCTTCGCTCATTTCCGGAAATATGGAGGGGATGTAAACTCTAGTTTTTCCCACAAGGCAAAGACGCCAAAATAAAATGGTGGGCCTTTGGAATAAAAAATGGGAAGTGGATCACGTTACTGATGGGGCACTTTATGGGACTCTAGAAGGGGTAGAAGCAGGGCCATCTCTAGAAGTTTTGGGGCCTCAGACAAAAAATGAATAATGAGATCAAATTGCCTTATGATTAATAACGCAATTAACTATGAAGTAGTTCGAAAATTATAACACCATTTTTACTAAATGTAAAAGGTAATACTTGACATAAAATTGATATAAAATATATTAAATATGAATTTTTCTAAGAAATAAATAAAACTATAGCCCATCCGGCCGTCTGATGAGGAAGCATTAGGCCAGATAATTAATTTTGGTTAATCTTCAGTTACTTTTAATTATCCCAAATGCAAGCGGGGAGGTTAGTGAGGTGGTGAGGGTATCCTTGGAGTTGGAAATCATTAGTAGGAGATTTATCTCATGCTACCATCACTTGTCCGTAGGAATAAGAGAGAAGTTATGAGTTATCTCAAGAGAGGGTGCTCTAGAAATTAGGCGATTGGAATCAAAATTTCTAGCTTTATGGGCAAGACATGCGATTTTGTTAAAAACGATTATTCAGGAAATGCCAACTCTGAATGTTTTTCTTTTACCATTAATTTTATGCAATGAAGTTGATGAATGATTATTAGTGAACAAACAGAGAAAGAGGGAGTGGGGCAACACGTAAAGGGATACAATGGAGGGGATAAGAAGGGATAAATTGGTGGGCTGAAGGTGGGGGGCTTAGGTTTCTGCCTTCATGAGTTTTATCTTTCTATGTTAGAAAAGCAGGCTTGATGATTGATTACTCAAATTGAAACATTGATGAGTACAATTTTCCAAGAAAGATATTATCCAACTCCACTTTCGTGCAAGCAGAGCGCGAAAATAACCCATCTTTCATATGGCGGAGTATTTGGGAAGTAAAGAGGGGGGGTCTAAATGGGATTGCACAGAAGGTGGTTCGTGGATAGAATATTAAGTTGGGGGGGGGGGCATGGGTGCATGACATGCTTAATCCGTTTGTTCAAACACAATTACTTCCTTAGTTAGCACACACAACGATCTCTTTCTATTTGCACCGGGGGAACGAGCTTGGGATATGTATGTCATGGATGATATCTTTGATGAGCGGGACCGAAACCTCATCTTAAGAAATTCGTTGAGCTTACGAGGGGGAATGACGGAGTGCTATGGATGGTAGAGTGAAAGGAAAAGTATACAGTGAAAAATGCTTACATGATGTTGATGGGGGGGGGGGGGTTAGAGGCTACAAATTTGTGAACGAAGATGTGGTCGCTTGCATTGCTGCCAAAAGTAAAGATCTTCTATGAAAGATTTGCTCACGTTGCTTGCCAATGACATATGCAATCATGGGGCATTGGGGAGTATGGTTGATTGTGATATTACTTGCAACTTGTGTGAACATGAGACAAAGTCTATTCATCGTATTTTCATGGTATGCACCGTATCACAATATAACACTGGAGGTAAATGGGCGTGAGGATTCATAAGAAAGGGGTGACATGTTTCCTAGGATGGGTTAGGGCTTGGATTGAAACACAATAGAACGATACTTTGTTTAGGATTATTATGAGATGTTGGTGTTTGTAGAAGACTCGTAACGACGAGTTATGGAAAGGGAAGATCAGTTGTGAGAATACAAAATGTGGCATCAACTATTTTGGGAGCTTGGCGGCTACACAAGAAAAAAGAAGAGTGATGGATTTATTATTGTAGGAACTGATCAATGGCTTTGACCTCAATGAGGTAGACTCAAATTAAATGTGGATGCAGCTATCTGAGAGGGGAATAATCGATTTGGACTAGGTTGTGTCTTGCAAGACAATGATGATGGTTTTATGAAGAGAGGCGGACGATCATGCAGGGGACGTGTAGAGATACGAGAAGCAGAAATACTTGGATTTCAGAAAGCACTATCTTGGATTAAAGAAGAAAAATTGGACACACATTGATGTCGAGACTGATGCCCTGGATGCTATCCATGGTCTATGCTCAGACCTTGGATGTTCTTATTTTGATAACATATTTCATGATATTTTAGATCTTATTAATTGTCCATATACTGGTGTATGTTTTAAACATATCAAACAATTTCGGAAGCACGTGGCTCACAACTTAGCGGGTTACATTGTTTCTATGTCGGGTTGTATGATTTGGAGTGAGAATCCAACACACTGTATTAGTGTATTATGCACTTTTTTCAACAATTTATTTTTATGTAATTCAATATGTTTTCACTTTTTCTGCGTTAGATATTAGGTCATGTGTATTATTTTGAATTCTGTTTTTTGTACATTAAATTATGGTTATTAACTCAAACATACCACAAAAACTCAAACATAAAATTAAGATTTATTTTCTTATGCAGTAATATTGGTTTTCATGCATGCATATTATATGAAGTTTGTGTTAAATGTTGATTTATGTGCAACAAATACTACATAGTAGTAGTTATGCATTAGAATATGGTTCTTGTATGTTGAAATACTTTAAATATATACTTTAAAATATATTTAAAAGTTGCATTTTTGCCCCATTTTTAAAGAATGACAAAATATTATTCTTCAATTTTGAGTGGACAAATATAAGATCATATTTAAAAATGGGCAAAAAACCCCGATTCAATTGAAAATCCAAAATTACCGCGTCCTGTCGGACGTCCTCCACCCACCTCTGCCACATCCATGCCGCCAACACTCCACATTTGCCCCCGTCATCGACTCCAAACGTTTGCCATTTTTCTCTTCTCATTTCTTTGGCTGTGGATGGGGTTGAAATCCTTCAAATCTATAAACGAAGACGTGGACTGGTGTAGGTGACATGCAACAATGGTTTGTGGCGAGTGAAGGCGAGTGTCAACGTGGCGCGCAACGAGATTGATCGAACTTTGAGGATGACGAAGAGAGGCGACTATGACGACGATGAAAGCTTATGATGGGTGACTACGGTGGGCTTGCGACTAAGGTTACATGCAATGGTGGTGGGCTGGTGGTTAGGGGGCCGAGGGGTCGTAGTTGGCTGGGAATGGCGGTTTGGGGCTAGGGTTGGGGATGAAGGACTAGGGGCTGGTGATTGAGGGTTGGGTTCGGGTGGGTGGGGCTGGTGGGGTAGAGCTGGTGGTTTGGGTGGGCTGGCGGGCAGAACTGGAGGTTGGGGTTGGCTGGTGGGGCTTGGGCAGGAAACGGATGGCATGGGTGCGTGGGGTTTCCGAAGAAGACATAGGGTTAGGGTGGTGGGTAATCCGATAATAGGTTACCGAAAAAATAGGTCATTATCAACGGTGGTCTCTCAAACGGCTATGTAATTGTCACTGGGGCAATAATGTAACTCTTATTGGCCAGGTGGTCACTAGCGGCATGGGTGGTCATCGACAGTGTCCGCTTAGTGACAATGTCTAGTCATTAGGCAGAGTAGGTGTCACTGTTAATGGCTAGACATAGTATGATGTAACTGAAATGATGTTTTACTTGCACTGTTTTCCGTCCCAGATCATATCGGATCACATTTGACTGGACTTAAACAATTACTCCCTCCGTCCCATAATGAACTTCTCAGTTTGACCTCACACAGATTAAGAAAATAAATTTGACTTTACTGTGGAGTGCACTGTTTTGCACTGTTTAAACACTGTTTGACACTGTTTGGACACTGTTTGGCACTGTTTGACATTTTTTTTGATGTAGATTATTTGCCAAATAAGGAAAGTTTTGAAGTGTGAAGTTAATTTCGGGACTGCCCGAAAAGGAAAGTGAGAAGTTAATTTTGAGACGGAGGGAGTATACAATACACACAAAACCGACATTTACCAAACCAGACCAGACCAGTCCAAATCATACCAGAGATTAGATTAGAAAATTGGAGTCTAATAAAAACATTCTAATGGAGAGGGCATAAATGCCATATAAATTTCATTTTTTAAAATATTTAAAAGTGGTTCTATTTTACCTGATCAACTCATCAACCAGCATCATCTGTCCCGTCTCGGCTGTTTAGGCTCCTTCGCTAATCCCTTACAAGCAAATAAGTTTAGTGTCTGGTTTTTAGGGGATGAGAAAATATTGAGTTTTTACATTGAATTTTTAAAATTGATCCGCTCAGCATCGATCCTAGATGCGGTTTAAACGGTCTCGGTCCTTCGATCTGGCGCCCTTCTCCCTTGAACGAGTCGCTGCTGCCATTGATTTTCTGTTTGCATACAGGTAAGCCACTAATCTTCTATTCTAATTTCTTCCCTACTTTTGTTTCATCCATCCTCCATTTATTGATTATTTTAGTTTCATTTCTTATGTTCTTCCATTCCTCTACATTTCCCATCCATTCCCAGGATACACAGTTATTATAATTAGGCTTGCATTTTCATACTTCCCCTCCTTTGATTTCCAAACAGTTGTAGAAATATTCTTTTTCAATTTTGGTTTAGTTAAAACATTATTCCTGTGGTGCTCACAAAAGCACATTTCTAGAAACAGTTAGGTTCTTTCTGTCTAGTCTCCAACAAATGGGTTCGAATGCTTCTATTTTTCCTTCTAGAGTCTAGACACACTGCAATCTTTTCATTATAGAGAACCTGGCTTTCTGCTATTGTGAAATTTTGTCTAACCACTTTTTATAATGGAAAAAGTTTATGCATTTTTCAATACAAACAATTTTTCCAGCTGAACCATGTTCTAAATTAATAGTTGCACATGTTCCAATTCAGAATGCCCTTACATTGGAGTTCATAGAACCCCTATCTTACTGCTCTTAAATGATATAAGTATGTAATAGGAGCCATAGCACACAAGTCTATAGGCTACAAGATTCATTTTTTAAAATTAAGCTATGCATATGAATAAGCATTACCCTTTTTCTCTACTTTGGTTGTATTATTATGAGGGCATAGATTATTTCTAATTTTTTTTAAATAGAACTTATTGACTTTGATGGAGTGAATAATCACGGGGGATATTTTATGTGTTGGCATTCCTGTTTTTACTGGACGCAAATGGGATGGATAAATTTGTTAGGAAGATTTAGATACTAAATGGAGATAGAAGTAAGAATAGTACTAAATATACTCCACATTTCTGTTGAGAGTATCATCAAGAAATATAAGTTGATGCATATGAAGAATTCACACATTATGAACTAATGTAGCTGAATGCACAATCACTTATATATCATGTGATCATTAACTATGTCAAGAATATCACTGCTTTTCGAGTTTTTTTTGTAATCAAGTTTGATCTTGCAATTTGTTTGATATTATTTCTCTTCACTATTTATGTTCTAAAACAAATTGGAATGGTTCCGAATAGCATCGTCGAAAATGCATTAAAATCTTCATCATGTTATTTTATTTATATGATCTACTGATATTTCATTTGTTTGTCTTATATTGCTTTGTAGTATTTAGCTATTCCACCTAATATGAAGAGATTCTGTTGTACTTTTTTTGAAGGCCTGCAATTAAAATAAGGCTATTGCGGAAATGCTACCGCTCAACTTGATCTCTAATCTGAGGCCTATACTTGTGAAATGCATTCTCTCAATATTTATTTCTTGAGGAATGTTAATTAATTCCAATTTAAACTTAGTTCTTTTTAGAAGAATTGGTTTTTGAATTTTGATGAAGTAATTCTTGATTTAGCTGCCTGTTATTTATCTATCTGAATACAAGCATGTTATGAAATCTAAAATCTTAAACTTATATCCTACTCAGATTTTGACTAGATTATGAAGCAGTGGTTCTTGTAGCTCTCCTACTCTTCTTCTTTACACTCTCTCTCACCAAAAAATGTAAGCCCTTAGGTTTGTCTGCCTGACTTTTGATTTGCTATGTATTAACTAAGGACTTACACAGTTTCTAATGCATATAGATTATTATTATTGCTTGTTAACTGGACAGCTATTCATGCTTCGTGCACTCCATTTACATTTTTCTTCATTTTGGGAATAACTACACTGTTTGCATCTTAAACAGACACCTGTTCTCAAACTCAATTGATATTCTGATTGAAGCTCTTGACATCAGAGTCAATATATTATTCTTTGGTGAAACTTTTAATAAGGTTTCTTTTAAGCAATGCACTAGGCATTTAAAATTTTAAATATACTCATATACTCTTTTTAGGGATACACTGTGAGTATCATGGTATCCCTTACAAAATCTAAACAGCATTGTTAGATATAACATTATGACTATGTTTTTGGTTAGGAATTGATTAAATTAAAGTGGCCAATTTAAATAATACTTCCTCCATCTCACTATCTTTCTCCCATCTTTTCATTTTCTGTCTGTCCTTCTAAGTTTGTTGATTTGTCCCGTACTATATTTGGTAATATTTGTGTGGTTCAAATTTATTCATACTTCACAAATTAAGTCGCAACCACCTATCTACACCCTTTCCTTAGTACACGTGTTTGTGTTCCACTTCCTCGTGTCCTAAAGGTAGTGAGACGGAGGTAGCATATTTATCTGAGCTCCCTAATGGTTGGGTTTGGTTGTGTGTGGATGTGGTGCTCTTAAGTGAGAAAATCAATTTAGCATGCTTTTTTGCTCAAATTAGATAATGGGTCAGCGAGTAATTGGCAAATTGCTCAAATGAGATAATGGGATAATTAGGTTCAGAACTCAGAAGTTGTTTTTCTTTTGATGAGCATTGTCAGATTCCCTCTTATGTGTTCTGTCACCTAATCTTCATGTGTTGAAGTGAGAAAAAGAAATGAAGAACCCCACATATAGTGCTACTTCCGCCTTGTTGGCAGCACAGAGTTCACTCTCGTTTACAAACACTCTCTTCATCCCGAAGTATCGGGTCACTTTACTTTTAATGCGTTTTTAAAATTTTAATCGAAATAAGTCAAATAACTAAAGAAGTCAGTTGTGGATCACCAAATGGTCCCTCATGTGAGACCAATTGTGTTAAACATTTCTAAGAAGAATGGAAAAGAGGTAGAACAACAAAAAGAGAAGCTACCATATATAAACTACTCCATAAAACATAATTTCCATACATCTGGAGCTTCATCTGTTCTTTGATTTTTCCTAAGTCAGGGTGTTTTGAATCCAGAACCTACTCTCCCAAAAAGTATCATGGCATCAATAGTCATGTAGAAGCTGGTTGATTCTGATTGTTTTTATTATTTCATGCTATTGTTTTATTTTTATTTTATTCAATGGTTTTTCTGATCGTGTGTCAGTAAAAGAAAAACACATAAATAGGGATTATTAAAAGTTTGTTAAGTCAGACAGTAAACTAATTGGAAGAAGCTGACCTTTTTTTAAACTTCAAGGGCCTAGCTAATATTGCCCTTATTTACGCTACACCCCAAATAACATGCCCAGATTTAGGGTTGGCATTTCTGAGCCTCTGCCCACCATGAGTTTGGTTCCTTTTTTCCACTAAATACAATTTTTCTGTAAAAATTTACATATCAGTAGTGTTTTTTTGGGAAAATCTGAGTTTGCACTCCATGATTACTTCTAATTGAGTGTTGCACCCATCCATTGAGTTTGCACCCCATATGCACTTCTCGTTTGACTTTGCACCAATTTTTTTGAACCCTTGAATTGGGTCATTTCTCTCAGACTTTTCTCTCTATATATTTAGATTAAATACGGAGTATTAGACTTTACATCCCATAATTATATTAAATTTGCATCTGACATTTGTGGTTTGGGGTGTGAATTCTAAGGAATTGAAAAAGCAGTGCAAAGTCCAGTCTCAAAGTGAAATACTAAAATAGGGTGCAACTCTAAATCTCCCTCTATTATCATTCCTGCCTAAATTCAAATTCTTAGGAGCACCAGGTTTTTCCTTCTCAGAGAAGATCAATGATATTCTTTCCAACTCCATCCCGTCTTTAATGTAAAACACTGATTATGGCTTTTTGGCTTCCACAAAGATCAGAAGAATGATCACAACAATAATTCAATATAATCTTCACTTCACAAGTTCACAGTGAAGTGAACTTGAGAGGGACTATGAAAGAATCCATTAATAGTACAAAAACTACATACATTGAGGGACATCCTAAACAGATATTATAAATATGACCTAATGGACTGATGGAGTATATTTTCCATCATTTGCAATGGAGCCAAAGATTCATTATTTTTTGGCTTGAGAATATGATGGAATAAAGCAAAATGGCTCACTAAACTGTCTGCGCTTCTTTGTTATGAAGCAGCAGTCAGTCCATGCAATTTTGGACGCAATTTTCACTATGGGTCATCCGGAAACAGTCTCTCTGTGCTTTTGTATAGGGGTAAGACTGCGTACATCCGACCCCCCCTTACCCCACCGTAGGTGGGAGCCTTTGCGGCACTGGGGTAAATGAAAATGAAAATGAAATGGACTGATGGAGTATCAGAAAACCTAGGCTCTTGTGTGTGGTAAATAGAATAACCCTTTTCATCATTGAGAAGTCTTTGTGTACTTGCGGAATCATGGTGTTTCACAATGGTTAGTTATCTAATTATTTCAAAAATATACATGAACGATCGCTTACAACAGATATTCATATCAAGACCTTTTCAGCATCAAGTTGGAGGGAGAGTGTGAAGGACAATGGAGGCAGCACTGGGATTGATGAGAAGAATGCCGCCAAAGCACATGGAGACGGCCCTCTCTGCTTTGCTCAGCCTCTTGCCAGATCACTCTTCTGATCTCCTTTCTCAGGTGGATCAGCCTCTTCAGTCTATGTGTGATCTGGAAACTGGGAAAGAATTTATATTGTGTGAATACAACAGAGATGCTGACTCATATAGGTCGCCATTGTCAAATACTTATCATCCACCATTAGAAGATGGAGCTTTTCCATCTGCAGAGTTAAGGAAACTCGAGATTGAAGCAAATGAAGTCTTTGCTGTTTATCGTGACCAGTATTATGAAGGCGGCATCTCATCGGTTTACATGTGGGAAGATGAAAATGAAGGTTTCATTGCCTGCTTCTTAATAAAGAAAGATGGCTCAAAATCTGGACATGGTAGGAGAGGTTATTTGCAGGAAGGTGCCTGGGATGCTATACATGTTGTGCAGGTGGGCTCAGAGGACGAAGGGACGACTCAGTACTCCCTAACCAGCACGGTGATACTTTCTTTGACGACGAACAATGAGTCGTCTGGCACCTTCAACTTGTCAGGGTCTATTAGAAGACAGATGAAGATGCATCTCCCTGTGTCAGAGGGTCATTTATGCAACATGGGAAAGATGATCGAGGAAATGGAGGGAAAGCTTAGAAACTCGCTCGATCAGGTTTATTTTGGTAAGACGAAAGAAATGGTCTGTGTTTTACGCCCCCCTTCCGAGCTTGTTCAAACAAAACTGCCTGCCACCTAAGATTTTTCATCCCATCTCATCGATGGGCATTCTTAAGATACACCTCCAGAAGTGTTACTACTGCCAACGAGTTTATTTAGTGTTATTTCATTTATGAACTCAGTTACTTCTAGTGTCACGAGAGGACTTGAGTCCTATTGGTATAATTACATACTGATTACTATTTTTTTTTTTTATTATAAAAAAGATGACATCCATCTTTGAAAGTATCCAGGATCGGTCAAACAATTATATGGAAGGATATAAATTGAGTTTTGATCGCAACCACTCACATGTATATATAAAGATAAAGAAAGAGATCCTATCAAGTATCAATCCTTCCTACTAGAAAGAAACCACAAAGCATTTTGTTACATTTATTAATAATTGGCTTATGGGTTCATGCCTGGGAAATCAGTGAAGCATATAAGACGGGCTCTGCCTTGAAGTGATACATTTTTTATACATTTTTCGCTTATCCTCTCTTATCGTGATGTATTCCATGTTTTATTTCCTTGATTTGCACCTCAATTGAGTTGCACATTCAAATAAAGAAATTGTCTTAAATAGAAATAAAAACGTTTATTAATTTCAAAATGGGACTATTAGGTATTTATTATCTAAATATTATTTATTATCTAATTATTAGTAATTGTTGTCATGTTTTGGGATTATCGAACTTTAGAGTTTAGACATGACAATATTTTTCATGTTTGGTAGTAATTAATCCTATTTAGGAACTAAATACATAGCATTTGTATTTTGGAATTCCAAAACATTTCTACTCCTATTTGATGAAATTTCTCATTCAAATATTATATTATAAACATCATAATATCATATGAGAAGTAAAAGAACTGTTATTTGCTTCTCTACAGACTTATACTAGTATTACCCTAAAACTTGACTTCATGCAATGCCTCTGCGGGATTCAAAAAGTCAAAGAGAACAATAGTGTGATGCATATAGTCGAATGTTTTGAGAATTTATGGGGTGGGAATATCATTTTTTGTTCCATCTTTTAAATCCTTTGATCATATAGCATCTAAAAAAAGTTCATCCCTTTTCTTTAATCTCTTCAAAAGAACGGAATTCATCAATTTTTGTTTGACTTTGATTCTTTGAACCATACCAATAAATTTGCTCAACGTTCCATTATGATATTCGACTTTACAATATATTTGGTGTGCATTATCATCAAATAAGTTAATATGTGTTGCAAAATGAAATATTAAGGTACATATTTGGGGTGAATGTTGCAAATAAAATGATTGTCTCGTACCTACAACACATTCAACTAGTTCAGCTCGAGTCATTATCTAATCATTTACTGATATTTAAATTGTTCAATTGCAATATTCTAATTGTTTCACGTAAGAGGTTAAAATATACTCTGTATATAATCTTCAACTCAACTAAAAAAAGGATGACACCCATCAATGACTCCTTGAGGGTTCATCAGAACCGCCAGAGCCATTATTTGGCAGGATGTACGTTAAGCTTTGATCACAAAAGTTGGTAAAAATATAGTGAGGTTCCAGCCCAAATTACTTCAAATTGAACCTGAGATCTTTCACTGGTGGCACCCTCTTTCTATAAGATGAACTATACCTCGATTCTGTCTTTAACTAAACTAAATTCTATGGTTATACTATCTGTATCAGACAAAAATATTCCTCTCACTGATTTTTTCCATTTTTAAATGTTAATTGACATTGTAATCGATAAGAACTATGAAAAGCTTTTGTCTAGGTAACCAGTTTATTGCTAATTCAAAAAGAACATTGACGAATACATGCGGATAAGAAAAATGAGCAAGAGCACATGGAAAGGGATGATAGAGACAACTTGATGACAATTGGAGGACCTATATTTCTGAAAACACAAATAATATAGTCAAAGATACCAGGTCGGACAAATCCCATGGGGTGCGGCAAAATTAATTAGGAGAAATAAAGAATATAATTTGGGAGATATATGGAAGGGATAAGGAGTGAATATATCATCGATTCATCGGATTATATTTTATATGTTGGTGAATTCATGCATCTCGGAAAATTTGTTTTAAGCTGCTAAATACAAAAATGAATGAGTAAAACAATGTGTTCTTTTGTCAAAGAAAGCAACTTTCAATGTTCTTTTTGCAGCCAATCGTGGGCTGCCACATGACAATTCGGATATTTTTGCTGTGTTTTCTAATCTACATACTATGGGTGATGTTGCTCTCTATCTATTAATGCTAAATGTCAACATTATTGATTGAAATGCGTTCCAATTCCATGACATTCTCTGATCTCTGAGTATCAGAATGACGTCATCGAATCAGATGTGACAATCCATTGGTTCACTAGATTGCTCAATCATATATGTAGTATATTGATAACATAGCAAATGGAATGTCATATATCCTTTAACGTGAGGATAATGTGATATAGATGAATATTAAGATGTTTTTAATTCGACTGAAATTTTATAAATCTGTTTAAGTGTGATATAATACTACGTAATTGTTTATTATATATTTATTTTACTATTATCTAAGTCCGATTCAATTTGTTAAATTTGGCCTGTTTTGATATAGAATTAAAATCAATCCAATTAAAAAAATTCTTAACCAACAACCTCTATCCCTATCTATTACCGCTTTCACCAATCACTACTATCTATATCCCCACATAGTATTTCTCGCTCCACAGTGCATAAACTAGGGGTGAACATATTGGTTTGGTTTAATCGAACTAAACCTTATCAAATTGCACTAATGTGAATCAAAATCAAACCATAGCAATTTGATTTGAGTTTGGTAGCATTTTTTCCAAATCGTCTTAAACTGAACGGAACTTAATTAAACGGAGAGAAACCGAATAAAACCAAACCGAACTAAATAAATTCAATAAAACTTCATATATTATTAAAAAATAACAAATCCAAACTGAACCAAACTAAAAGATAGTATAACCGATATGCCCACCACTAGCATAACCATTAAGAGCATTTTTTATGGCCCCTATATTCATCAAGACAGACTCTATATATACTATATATATATATATATATATATATATATATATATATATATATATATATATATATATATAGGGAGCGGTTCCGGTAAGAACGCATCTTAGGAGAAAAATGAGAACGAATCTGGACCGTTGGATTGAATTATGTGGAACTGAATTGTGCATTTGATGAAACCGAAATATGCATTAGATGATATTGAAATGTGCATAATAAAAATTTAAACTCACATTTGCATTAGGTGAAACTGAGATGTGCAGAATAAAAGGTACTAAAATAACATCACATCGTACCTTTTATTATGCACATTTTAGTTTCATTTAGTGCACATTTCAAATCCACTTAATGCACAATTTAGCTTCACATAATGCCACTACATTGTACCCTTTGTGTTGCACATTTCAATTTCACCTTATACACATTATAGCTTTATCTAATGCACATTGAATTTCACATAAAGCAAATCTAACGGTCCAGATTCATTCTCATTTTTCTCATTAGATCATGTTCTTATTTGAACCAAAACCTATATATATATATATATATATATATATATATATATATAGGGGGGGGGGGGAGATCACATGCAAACAATACTTCCGGTGCAAACTACAAACCAATGGCTTCCGTTGGATGCAGTGGAACGAACGGCTATGCAGGGAATCTCACTCAATTAAACGTTTAATTAAAAGGGGTATGTGGGTCATTTGATGTACTGTAGCAGCATGCCTTTTTTAATTTAATCAATGAAATCTATCATTGATCTTACGCATACGGAATGTAATCCCCAAAATGAAAAGATTAGGAGCTGATTGTTATGCATACATATGGGTGGAGAAATTTGAACATCACTGTGCACAAATTAAAATCTGAGTTTTTACCCATCAACAAAGCTTGCAATAACAGTTATATACTACGTATTTGATTTTGAAAATTAACCACTTCCTAGTTAACCTTCCTTTTTCTGAAACCTAAAATATTAAAGTTATATAATATGCATTATATATTGATAACGGTGTGCATAGTTATGTTAGAACTTGTAATGTACGTAGTATTAAGTTTTTATTATGAACTCATCACAGGTAGAAATGTCTACACTTTATGGTTATGAGATGTGCATATTAAGGTTGATGGATGTGCATATTAAGGGTACATGATATGCATTATATGTTTATAATGTCTCCATAACTTATATTAAAACTATATAGCGATAAAATATGTCGGCGCTGCATTTTAGTAGTTCATATATTGCTTTTATCATTTTGACATGTGCACTTTAGAAGTTTTTATATTGCACTTCAGTAAATAAGCTGATATGTGCATTTAAAAAATTCATACTACATCTTATTTTTATGATAGCTGCATTTTAGTAGCTCATATGTTGCATTTTATCCTTATGATATGTGCATAATAGAAGTTTGTATATTGCATTTTAGTAAGGTGACATATGCATTGTACAAGATCATTTGATGCATCTTATAGTTATGACATCTGCATGGTAGATTGAAGTGATATGCATATGAAATTCATGGTGTCGCAAGCTGCATAATATTTGACAAACGTCTTCTAAATGGTAAGAATTTTGTATACTAAATTACAAATTTTTTGCATGAACATGAAATTGATAATTTGATGCATTGTAAAAGACAATTTGCTGCATCTTATCGTTATGACATTTGCATCGTAGAAGACCATTTGCTGCATCTCATCTTTATGACATTTGCATAATTGCATTGTATACTCAATTGACATCATACAAATTTCATGGTGTCACATGATGCATAATATAATATATGAGAAACATGTTTTAAAAGGTAAAAAATATAACATGTTTGCATAATACAATTACAAAAGCTTTGCATGAACATGAAAATTTTGAATTGGTTGAAAACAAAAATGAAAAAACGTTTAAAAAATCCAGCGTGCACCACAGATTCCACGAAGACGTTGTCATTCAATTTGAACAGAAGAAAACCACTGAAAATATATGAAATTGGAGATGGAGATGGAAGATGGTGATGGAGATGGAGATGGAGGTGATGATGGTGATGGAGATGGAGGTGGAGATGAAGACATAGACGGAAAGGTAGATGGAGATGAGATGGTGAAGCTTTGGTCATGGAGAGATTGCTAGTTAGACATGTAACGGAGGAAATCGCAGAGATGGCAGAGAATGGGAATCACAGAGATGGAAGGATAGGCAGTTATGGAATTGAACGTGATTTTCCATTATTAGATTTAGGTCTAATTACTAAAACATCCTTACTTTTAATTAGTCTGACTTGAGCAATCACTAATAAACGGACGGTTATTTGCACT